AAAAAAAAAAAAAAAAAAAAAAAAAAAAAAAAAAAAAAAAAAAAAAAAAAAAAAAAAAAAAAAAAAAAGGGGAAGAAACAATGGAAAACGTAACACTCCAAATCCATGCAAGTTACTTGATTTCTATCTCCTTTTGATTGATATTTACAAATCTCTCTTTATTTTTCCTATAATTTCTCCTCCTTTAATCCTTCTCTTCTTCTTCACGCCGCCTCTCCTCCTCCTCCTCTTCTTCTTCTTCTTCGCCTACACCGCTTTGCCTTCCCTTTCGATCCCCCTTCTATTCCATTCGATCATTCATGGAAAACCCACATTTTCTTTTCCAACTTCTTTCATAAAAAACTTTCCCTTTTTCCTCCACATTCCCCCTTTTCGCCTTTTGCTCATCGTTTACTGGGTTAGTCTTGATTGATCCTTTTGCTTTCTTTGTGTTCTTGGAGCTCTTGCGATTCTGATTTTGTTTGATCGAGTTCTGTGAGGTTATGACCCTGTTTTTGATTTTGATGATCGAGCATGTTTTTGGGAGTTTTCTTTGTCTATTTGTGTGTGTGTTCTTAGATGACTTTTGGGTTTTTGATCTATCTGAATGTTGTTTTTTCATTGTAATGAAGAAGGGTACACTCTATTAGTGAGCGATCGTGATAAGTTTTATGGGTTTGGTGATTTTTGATTGGATTCTGATTATTGGGTTTTGTTCTAAATTTGTTGTTCTTATCTGGGTTGTGGGATTATAGTGATTTGATTGCTTTTCTTTGCAATGTAGATTGGGAATTTGTTTGAATTATGAACTGATCGTTGAAACTGAAGAACTGTGTGCCTTTTGCTGCTTTATAGGCTGAAGTAGGAACGTTTGTGGTACTGTTTCATTTGTTCTTTAGTTGAGGGGTTTGCTTGTGAGATACAACAATGGAGGAGATGGGTAATGAACTGGAATTTGCTGATCTAGCGAGGCTTATTGGTGATGAGTTTCCAAATGTGGCATCTGGTAATGCACATAATGAAGAACAAGGCTTGTTTTCGGTACCAGTGAGCTCCTATGAAGGGCCTTCGGTTCAAAATTTCGATAGCAATGGGAATTTGATGGATGGAAATATCTCTATGAGTAAACTCCAGCAATTATCTAGGCAAAATTCCATGCCAGGGGACTCGTCCTTGACGCTTGCGTTTGAAAAGTTGAACTTTGGCGATGAGGCGAAGGGGCGTGCTTGGAAGTCGTTGCAGCAGGGTCATGCCGTTCTGTTGGAGGATCATTACTCAGAGAATTTGAATAAACAATTACACATTATGGATCCATCAGTGTTAGCTTCTTGGGGTTCTTCTAATCACTTGAGTAATGGTGTTCATAGCCCTCATATGACAAAATTTAGCCATCAAAACTCTCCTTCCAGACATATACCTGAACAGTACAATAACTGGCAGGTTGGTCAGCTACAGTCTTTCGAGACGTCCTCCCCTGCAATGCCGTTAACCCATGAGATGGCTAATGTGTCTTCTCCAAATTTGCAGTTCCCTACCACACCTCAAATGCAGCAAATTTTCCATAACGGGCGGCCTCCGGTTCGTTACATACATCCGCAACAGATAAATCATTGTCAAATTGGTTGGAATTACAACGAGGAGGATAAGTTGTATAGGATGCATGAGCAGTACCCATACCTGCAGCATCTTCATAAGCAGCAAATTCAATCACATGAGAACATTGCAAGTAGGATTTCATGTCAGAATCGTAAGCAGCCATACTACGAGGTTCCAATAGCTCACCATCTCGAACAGTCTAATTATGAACCATCTTGGAAGACGTCTGCGTTTCATAGGGGTTCAAATCAGTTTAGTCCTGTATTTCCATCACACTATATGGACACAATTCAAGGTATGGAGAAATTTTCCTTTCCTAGAAAGATCCTTGCAAGGAGTCCTAGATTGAACACAGTTGATTCTATGAGGTTTATGTCTATTGGTGCTGATAAATCAGCCAATCATGTCAACCAAAGTAGAATAATTCGCTCAAATAGCTGTGTTCGATGGAACAATTTGACTGAATGCATTTATCGTGATCACTCATCTGCCATGTACTCGAAATCAGCGAGTCTTAAGTTGTTTCCTGAAAGATTTAACTCTGTTGATGAAGTCAGGGGTAGAATATTTCTCATGGCTAAAGACCAACATGGTTGTCGTTTCTTGCAACGAAAATTTGTGGAGGGTACAGATGAAGATATCGAGAAGATTTTCGACGAAATCATCGATCATGTTGTTGACCTCATGGTAGATGCATTTGGAAATTATCTAGTACAGAAGCTGCTTGAAGTTTGTAACGAAAATCAACGGATGCAAATTCTACATAGAATTACACAGAACCACGGCGAACTTGTTATAATTTCATGTGACATGCATGGGTACGCTCTTTTCCTGTCCTTTTCAATACCTCACGGGTCGTATATCCTAAATTCTTCTATCTTTACCACAGGACTCGTGCTATTCAGAAGGTTATTGAGACTCTTAAAACACAAGAGCAAGTCGACATGATTATCTCGGCTTTAAAGCCTGGTATAGTTACTCTGATGAAGAACATAAACGGCAACCATGTGGCACAACATTGCCTCGATTATTTAATGCCTAGTTGCCGCGAGGTGAGGATTATATTTCCCCATCTGTTTCAAGTGTGAAGATACTCACCTTTTCATCTGTAGTTTTGTCGTTTTGAACAACACGGAGGCCATCAGTATCTGTTTGATCATAGGAAACTATAAAATAAATTCCATGCGTGATGCAACGAAGTAATCGTTTTTATTTGCATCTTTCTTGAGATTTTTGCTATTTTCATTCAAATTGTTCCTTTGGTTATTTCCCACTCAAGAACAAGCATAGTCTTCAAGTAAGTGATCTTTGATAGCTCTTTGAACTGATGGGTTAGAACCTAATTTATGATCTGAACTACAATCTATTCTAGAAAATTTGTGGTAATAAGAACGATCGCACGCGGGACGGGAATTTCTCTCTTTCTTTTCTTTTCGTTCATTTCAATGTTAATGTTGTTGTTGCTCGTGTTCTCATCTGTTACTGCTTTCGCTGCAGTTACTATTTGATGCTGCAAGAAATAGTTGTGTTGATCTTGCAACTGATCGCCACGGTTGTTGTGTTCTTCAAAAATGTCTCAGTTGTTCCAATAGCTTAGAACGAGATAATTTAATAAGCGAGATCACTCAAAATGCGCTGATTATTTCCCAAGATCAATACGGGTAATTCTATGCTCTCTCCCTTTCATTTTTCTCTCTCTATCTCATGTTCTTTGGTTTTAAGTACTCCTTTGGTCCCGTACTTTCGATTTTGATTCATTATGGTCTCTATACTTTCAAAACGCTTAAATAGTGATCATTTTAGGACCACAATTAACCAAAATCGAACGTACATGGATGAGATAAGAACGAACATTTTGCAAGTATAGAGGCTAAGTGAACCGAAACTGAAACTAGGAGGATCAAAGTAGTGTGTCTTTTATTTATTTTGGAAACAGCTCAAGAAAAAGTTTTGGATTGATCTAAAATAAGTATGAATATTAAGAATTATTCTCTTTGTAGCTATAGGATCATGTTAGCTTTGTTTTCTGACTCATATTCAACTTCAGTATGAATGTTGGAGTTGATTTGGAACTATGAACATGAACTGACTAAATTAAATTATATGCAGGAACTATGTTGTGCAGTTCATCCTCAAGCTTAATCAGCGATGGGCTATGGAAGCTATACACAAACAGCTAGAGGGTAATTATGGAGACTTGTCCATGCAGAAATATAGTAGCAACGTCGTCGAAAAATGCCTGCTATTTGCATATGGAGGACAACTCCCTAAGATTATGCATGAGTTGATCAATGATCCACAATTTGGTAAAATCATGCAGGACCCATATGGCAATTATGTAATTCAAACGGCATTGGGTAATACAGAGGTTAGGGCCAAGATTTCCCTTTTCTTTTTGGTAATTGTGTTCATATATGAAGAATGTGTGACGCTTTCTATTGTCAAACGGTGCTCGTAACTTTTCAAATTTGGAAACGTTACTATAAAAGTCATCTTAAAGAAATAAAAACTATGCATCCCTCGTTTCAACGTCATGCCAACTATAATTTAGAGAATTTTGTTGAGTAGGTTAGCATAGTTCAACTGGTTCAGGCATATACCTTTAGTGAAGAGGTTAAAGATTCAATTCTCCTAACCCCACGTGTCGTTTAGCTTAAAATGGTGTGAGGGGGTCTATACCTTCAGTGAAGAGGTTAAAGATTCAATTCTCCTAACCCCACGTGTCGTTTAGCTTAAAATGGTGTGAGGGGGTCTATACCTTCAGTGAAGAGGTTAAAGATTCAATTCTCCTAACCCCACGTGTCGTTTAGCTTAAAATGGTGTGAGGGGGTCTATACCTTCAGTGAAGAGGTTAAAGATTCAATTCTCCTAACCCCACGTGTCGTTTAGCTTAAAATGGTGTGAGGGGGTCTATACCTTCAGTGAAGAGGTTAAAGATTCAATTCTCCTAACCCCACGTGTCGTTTAGCTTAAAATGGTGTGAGGGGGTCTATACCTTCAGTGAAGAGGTTAAAGATTCAATTCTCCTAACCCCACGTGTCGTTTAGCTTAAAATGGTGTGAGGGGGTCTATACCTTCAGTGAAGAGGTTAAAGATTCAATTCTCCTAACCCCACGTGTCGTTTAGCTTAAAATGGTGTGAGGGGGTCTATACCTTCAGTGAAGAGGTTAAAGATTCAATTCTCCTAACCCCACGTGTCGTTTAGCTTAAAATGGTGTGAGGGGGTCTATACCTTCAGTGAAGAGGTTAAAGATTCAATTCTCCTAACCCCACGTGTCGTTTAGCTTAAAATGGTGTGAGGGGGTCTATACCTTCGGTGAAGTGGTTAAAGATTCAATTCTCCTAACCCCACGTGTCGTTTAGCTTAAAATGGTGTGAGGGGGTTTATACCTTCAGTGAAGAGGTTAAAGATTTAATTCTCCTAACCCCACGTGTCGTTTAGCTTAAAATGGTGTGAGGAGGTTTATACCTTCGGTGAAGAGGTTAAAGATTCAATTCTCCTAACCCCACATGTCGTTTAGCTTAAAATGGTGTGAGGGGATGGGGACCGTGGGAGGATTACTCTTTGCACTGTCCCATTTTTGAGTCACACTAGCAATATTTTCAACGTCATGCCATTAGGGAATTTTGCTGAGTAGGTTAGCATAGTTCAACTCGTTCAGGCATATACCTTCAATGAAGAGTTAGAGATTCAATTCCCCTAACCCCACGTGTCGTTTAACTTAAAATGGTTAGGGACCGTGGAAGGATTACTCTTTACGCTGTCCCATTTTTGAATCACACTAGCAAAATTTTCTTAGAAGATACGTTTTCTTTTACTGACTGATTGACCCTGAACAATCTTTCTAGTCAAAGATCCTAATGCTTTGGTGCTACTGAAACTCGAATGTAAAATGTCGAAATTTCTCTTATATTATATCGTCCAACTGTTTTCGCACTTTTCTAATGCAAAGGAAGGCTTTTGGAAAACTGATTTGTAATGTAATTAGATGAATGTCTGTTTGTCTGCCATGCAGGGTAATCTTCATACTAAATTGGTCGAAGCGATAAGGCCACATATTCCCGTACTCAGGACAAGTCCATACGGAAAGAAAGTCCTTGCAGTATTTGGAAAATGCAACTAACCGTTTACTCGAGCGCTTCTAGTCATCGTTTCATCTTGGTAAGAAAGCATAACAATTATTTTCCTTCAGTACTTTCTTTTAGTAAAGAATTTAGGCCAGGTCTATCTGGAAACAAACTTATCATAGGTGAAGACATATCCATATCTTCCCTAATCATCGTTTTGGATAAGAGTTTAGGTTGGTCGTTTGGCTCGTTCATTGGCCGTGTTGTTTTTCTTGCTTTTTTTTTCTCGTTTATTCGACATAGTAAATAAATCGGTGAAGGTATAGAAGAGGGTATATGCAGTGTTGTACATTTGTTGGGATTCTGTTTCTGAAGCTCATTGCTTGTAGAAGAAGAGTATATGTGTGAGATATGAGAGGGGCTTGCTTTGTATCATGCTACTGCTGCTTCTGCTGCTATCTTTTTTGGTTGGGCTGTGTAATTATCTCTCCTGTGAATTTATTGCAATTTGGGCTCTGTTTATTGTTCTGTCTCTTGCTTTTTTCGAACGTTTAGAGATCTATTAGACTCTATTAGACGTATTTAAAAGTTTGAGGACCAAATAGATACATTTAGCGGAGTTTAGGGATTGAATTTCTGCTGTCCCTGCCCGTTTCGTAGTGTTCTTCTTCCTCCCTCGTATTTTGTTGTGTACGATCAACAAACCACCAAGTAACTAGCTGCATAAGGAACATCCACACTATTCACTAAGACGGTCTCTAGGACGGCTACCGTTCAAGGAAACGAAAAAAGGAAAGCTCTTTAAAGAGAGGGTTGAGTGAATAGGCTAGCTATTAGCGGATACCGCTCCTCTTCAAAGCCTACCTTCTATGTACTACAACTTTTTCGAATAGCTCCATCCCTCTCTTCTCCTCTTTGGACTCTTACAACTCGACTTTGGATTGCTGCCATTGGGAAAGAGTTGTCCACTCTTCTCCGGATTCTCGCTCGAGGATGGTTGTCTGTCTCGATCTTTACTCTCTTGCTTTTAGGATCCGTTGCAGGCATTGATGCCACTTTTCAGCATTAGAAGCTTGATGTTACTCGACCCATCTTTGAACTTCATTGAGCGCAGAGTCTCAGGAGTCGGGTTTGGTAATCCAAGTTGGTTTTTCTTAATCTGATGGTTGTTCAAATCCTCCACGTTGTTTCGTCTGCTATACCTTCAATATCTTAGATAATCCTTAAATTTTTCTCCTATATAAAATCATCCAATCCTTATCCACAAGTTGAAACGAGCGAGAAACGTGCCAAATTCAGCCTCTTTCGATTTCCTATCCACTCGTAAGTTGTTATCTTCATTGTACGACCAAAGCCGATAAAAGGGTTCGTGTTTATTTGTAGAAACATTTGAAAAGAATACGTCGATCCTTCCAAAGATGAAAACATACGTAACTCACCAGAACGTTCATCTTGAACTAGAAAAACTCACAAACCGACCGAATTCAAACATATATTAGTGAACGTAGCCCCTCAAACATCAAAACACAAATCAAACAAAATTCTTCCATGATTTTTATCTTATAAACTACATAGTAGTTTCATTCTTCCAGCTTATATCATTCAAACTGGCACTCTTTATACAGCTCACGTCCTGTCGGGTTAGAACAATAATCATAGTACACATATGTTCTCTTCACATCCTCGTACAGTTCTTGTTGTCTAGGATTTAGCTGCCATTGTCGACCACTGTTCCATTCCAAGGCCTCCGAATCACAGCGGTTTCCAAATGGGCAGCCAAGAATGACAAAGCCTTTATAATTTGCTTGAAAAGGTGCCTGAGACCAATCCACTTTCTTGCCTCCTGATGCCCACGCCTCGCCATTCCAAATGCTTCCCATCACAACCATTGCTTGCGATGGGTATCTGCCCCCAATGGATGTGTGGTTTTTAAACACTCTTATTGGGATTTCATCTACAAAGAACCTGAAATTTTCATCATAAATACTCAATAGTTGGAGGGTTTTTGCATAATTAATGATTGGGTTTGTTAAGTTTGTGTTCATAGTTGATGGGTTTTGAGGGAACTTACACAATTTGATGGGAGTTCCAAAGGATTGAATAGCTATGAAAAGTTAAGGTTGGATCGAACCATAAACGAAGTCTTTGCTCTCTTCCTCCAGTGTCGTTGGCAAAAATGTTAGTTTGTAGGATATGTTCAGGTCCTTCCGTGCCCAAGAACTCGAAATCAAGCTCATCGTGAGCTCCTGAATCGTTGTCTAGATTTGAATGTAGCTGTATTTCATCGTATCATAATTATTTACATAGATGTTCACTAGCAGGGTGGAAGCATGGAAGTAGGGACGCTTTTGAATATATAACGTTTTGATGCATATAGATATAGATATATTTATATATAGAAAGTGAGACAAGCCGGGACGAAGACGAGGATTATAATCTCCATCCCTGACCCCGTTTTGCTTACGGGAAGAATTCTCAATCCACTCCCTTATTTTTCTACTAATAACATTATCTCGAAAAATACAACACAAAATGAACTCTTTCGAAACAAGTTGATAGATTAAGAAGAGAATGAATGGACTAAAAAAACTAAGATCTTACGTAAAAAGTTGTGACTACTCCTGGAGAGGCTCTTGATGGCAGCTTTAATTTCATCTGAAAATATCCTGAACCGTACTCGAGCTTCGACTTGAAACAAGTTCCTTTATTTTGTTCAATCAAAATTACACGTTATTCTCATATAGCATATTTATAGAAAAAAGCTGTTTCTTGTCGTCGTCGCGGTCAAATTTTAAAGTATATTTTAACCGTAATTTCATATTTGGAGGATAAATCTAGGTTAGCTCATGTATCCCTTATATACTCGGGCATCAGTATATGCGCACATGTAATAAAAACTATGATTTTCAAAGAATTAACCATACCATTCTAATGCAATTTGAATTTTTAAAATCAAAGTTAACCTAATCGAAACTTTTAAAACCAAATTGTTTGACATATTTTTTTGGTCAATATCCAACAAAATTGTGTTGCATAAGCATATCATTATTATCCATTAACGACATATTTTGAGAGAGATTAAACTAAATTATAAGAAAAACGAGAGATTTTCTTTCGATAGAGACCTGAAGCCTGATCAAGAGAGAGTTGAACTTCTGATCCATCCCGTAACCGTACGAAATGATCTTGACTATAGGTGACAAAGTAGTTCTCATCAAACGTAAGTTCTTCGCCAACAACACGATTCTTCAAACAGCTCATAATCATAAGAACAAGAAGTGAAGGGAAGAAGGTGATGATACCCAAGAGTCCCATAATTCTTGTCTCAGCTGATATCAAAGTTAAAGAAATTGATATACAAAATACAAATCTTCCCTTGCAGCTATTTATAACATAGAACATATTTATGACTCAATTTTTTTTCATTGTTCACCATAAATTTAGATGCATGAGTATAAAAATTTGGATTCCAAACAACATATCAAAAGATATTTAAATTAATTGGTAACATATTGTTTAAGAGCGTAAAATAACATGAACGCGAAAACTATATTGACTTGATCTTACAACATGTTCGATGAACATCTCTAGCTACTCGTATTGTATGTCCTTGTCTTTACACATTTCTTATCTCGAGATATTAGTTGTTGTATGCCTTAGTTTGTGACTTCAGAGAACCCATTATAACCCATTATAACCCATTCGAGATATTAATATGATCCGTAGTTTTTCCTCCTATCGTGAGTAGAGATGTTTATTTTATCTAACCTCGAACGAGGAGATTCCCCATTTAGATGAGGAATAGGGGAGGAAGTGAGGAACATTTTTTCTCCTTTAGATAAATGAGGCTGGGGCTGGGATGATATTTCCCGTCCTCATTCCCACCCAATTTCCCGCCCGTTTCATGTAATATAAATATATTTTCAATAATATTAAAAAAAATTACAAAACTAAATTAAAAAAGAGTTAATTTTGAAATTTTGATGGTAATAGTTATGGTTAAAGACTATATAAAATAATAAACCGATAAAAATTACCTGTTAAGAATTTGATCTTGTAACAACCCAGATCCATCGCTAGCCGATGTTGTCCTCTCTCTTTCGGGCTTCCCCTTAAGGCGTAAAATACGCTAGGGAAAGGTTTCCACACCCTTATAAAGGGTGTTTTGTTCTCTTCCCCAACCAATGTAGGATATCACAAATCCCCACGAGTTAATCCCCCTCAATCCAGACAAAAAGTAAATGGTAAATTTCACGAGGATGAATAATGAAATAGGTGGTAGGGATAGGGACGAAAAATGCTTCCCATCCCAGCCCCGCCCCATGAACATCTCTAATCGTGAGGAAGTTTTTTCACGTTAAAATTGACGGTGTGCTTGTTTTTCACCGTTCTACTTGCTATATTCCCCATTAGGTTCATACCCAAAATTGATCTTTAGAAAATAGTGTTTATCCCAATATCGGGATCCCTTCCTTCATTACCGAACGAGCGAAACCTAAAGTTGTCGATCATCGAAAATGGAAGCCTTCCCTTACAAGAAAGCTTAAACTATCTAGTATGGCAACAAAACATTGTTCATACATTAATCAAATCTTGATCAGCCGCTGGCACCACCGCACCCAACGACTCACCCCTTCTAAGATTGGCTACACAACCCAATTCTCGAGTACAATCTGCCACCTTTTCAATGCAACAAAGCAAATCAATTAGCAATGAAACCAATGTGGCTGTTGGGATCATCTCCAAACCCTCAAACCGATGGTTCGCCAAAAGGGAGCTCAGATTCTCGGTTGTGGCCTTTGCCCTTTCAATATGAGCACTTGCCAAGGCTGGTGGTGCCATTTTCTTGATTGCCATTGCTACTTCTTTTAGAGCCTTTGCTGATTCTTTGCACATTCTTAGAAACTCCTCTTTGAATTGGCTCTCAATTTGAATTTGATCGTTATTTTCGAGGTAGACATCGAGCACTCGAACGCGATATGCGCACTCTCGAGCCGAGCTACTGATATTTAGGTACTGTTTCCATGGATGGCGAAATCCGAACTTGCGAGGCCCTGGCTCCCATCTTGCTAGGTTAGCCTAAGTATATGATTGTATTTAGTTGAGTTTTGTAGGGAAAAAAAGGAAGAGATTTTGAGTTGATTTCATGTGTTTGTTTAACTCACCATGGATTCTTCACTTTGTTTTGAAGTTAGAATGGTTTTGTATTTGTGCATGCTTGCTTTGTTCACTTGCTCAACTCCTTGTGATGATCTAAAATATTGAGCTCCAAACTCTGCATGTCATCATGTTTTTAGTTAAACCCTAGGGTTCAAAAGGTGTGTAAAGGTTGGTTATCATGTTAGAATGAATAAACGTGTAACATCCCAAGTCCAGGTTATCGTGTTAGAATGAATAAACGTGTAAAGCCCAAACATGGCTAGCAAATATTTGTCCGTTTTGGCCTGTTACTTGCGCCGTTAGCCCCACGGTTTTACAACACGTCTGCTAGGGAAAGGTTTCCACACTTTTCAAAG